TATCACTTTGTGAGGGAGAAGGTGCTGAATGGAGAGCTAGACACTACACATGTTAATACAGGAAATCAGTGGGCTGACTTATTTACAAAAGGCTTGAGTCRRGKAABAGTGGACTACATATGTAACAAGCTGGGAGTATATGATATATACTCACCAGCTTGAGGGGGAGTGTTAGTGTAGGGGTATTTCTATCTTTATACCTTGATTGATGTTGCTGATCTGTAATGTTGTGTTGAAAATGTGCTCTTAACTTAAGTAAGGGCACATAGGTCTTTTCAGTTATGTTTTAATAATAGTATAAATACTTACTGGCCGATTGGCAGAAGTCAAGTTGACTCTTTCAGTTCGAACCAGAATTCTCTCTTCTCTCTTTCTTTCTTTCTCTCTTTCTTTATCACTCTTTCTTCTTCTACATAACTGAACTCAGTCAGGCCGAACACTAAGGCAGACCTGAATTATATCAAAGCTGAAAGAGAGGCCAATCATGCATTACAGCTAAGGAAATCAACACACGTACTAAGCCAATCTTTGTAACTAGAGAAAAGGTTTCTCCATAGTCTACACCATAAAGTTGAGAGTACCCTTTTGCAACTAAACGGGCTTTCAGGCGTTCCACTCTTCTATCTGGTAGATACTTAACAGAATACACCCATTTACATCCAACAACATGCTTACCTGGGAGAAGATTGGTGAGTTCCCATGTATGATTGTGATGAAGTGGAGAGAGTTCCTCTTCCATAGCTTTTAGCCACCCTTGCGAGGTAAAAGCCTCCAAAACATCCTTAAGTGTGGATCCAGACGACAACAGGGTATTAAACTCGTGATGGGAAGCAGAAAGGTGAGATATAGTAACATAATTGGATATGGGGTGTAGCGTGCAACTACGTTTACCTTTCTACAATGCAATAGGAAGGTCAAGATCAAAAGGCAATTTGGTTGTAGAAGGAGCTGGATCAACCGCCGCAGTAGAAGGCGGTGGAGGTACTGGCCTCTGTCAATGAGCATACACTTGACGAACCGGTGGTCTTTCAGTACTCTCCTACATTGGGAAAGGTCTAGACTCAGGCATAATGAGAACCACCGGGATGGAATTATCAACCAGGAGAAGGGATATCAGAAGAAGAGAAGTATGACACCAATTCGAAAAATGTAACATCAGGACACACAAAGGATTTTCGAGTAATAGGGTTGTAGCATTTATACCCTTTCTAGGTCCTAAAGTAGCCAAGGAAGATACATTTAATGGAATGAGGATCCAACTTGTCTAGCCCAGGACCAAGATTCTGAACAAAGCACACACACACACACCTGAAGATCCTGGGAGTCAGAGGATATGGAGACAAAGTGGGAAATAAGATAGAGAACGGAGAACAACCATCCAAAATAAATGAGGGCATGCGATTAATGAGAAAACAAGCAGTCAGGACTGCATCACTCCAAAAACGTTTAAGAACATTCATATGATGAAGGAGAGATCGAGTTGTTTCAAGTAGATGTCGGTTCTTCCTCTCAGCTACCCCATTTTGTTGAGGGGTGTGAGCACAAGATGTCTGATGAATAATACCATGTTGTTCCAAGTATTGCTAGAATGAAGAAAGAAAATACTCTCTGCCATTGTCGGAACGAAGAATTTTAAGTGAAACACCAAATTGTGTACGGACTTTAACATGAAACTTTTGGAAAATGAAAAATAATTCACTTTGTCTTTCATTAAATAAAGCCATGTCATTCTTGAACAGACATCAACAAAGATCACAAAATATTTGTAACCATTGTAGGACTCAATTCTGATTGGACACCAAACATCTGAATAGACTAAATCAAAAGGACTCAACATATGACTATCAACTCTAAGACTGAAGGAAGCCCGATGGTGTTTCCCATACTGACACGACGCACACTATAAAGACGATAGACGATTCAATGACAGAACAAGAAGCTTGAGAGCTTTAAGAGATGGATGGCCGAGTCTACAATGCCACTGAAGAGGAGTCAAAGAGGTTTGAAGTGCAACAATAGATCCACCACCGTCAAGATAATACAATCCGCCAGCTTCATGCCCTCCACCAATCTTCTTTCCTGTCGTTAGATCTTGAAAAACACAAGAGGAAGGGTAAAATGTGATAGAACAATTGAGGAATTTGGTTAGTTTTTTAACAGACATAAGATTGAAAGGAAACTTGGGAACGTATAAAATAGAAATCAAAGAAAGAGATGCCGTGTTAACATTACCAACACCATAGATGGGGGGAAGTAGATCCATTGGCAAGGGTAACATTATTTGATGAAGAGGTTGGAGAAAGGGAGGAAAACACACATGGAATCCCGGTCATGTGATCAGAGGTTCCAAAGTCAATTATCCGAATGAAGGTTTAGATGCTAGGTAGGCTATACTTGAATGAGCAATGGTGGCAGTATTCTGATGTGAAGTGGCCTGAAGAAATCTCTCATGCTCCACTCTTGGAATACTCATCATCTCCTTCCTAGAAGTAGTTGTGACTGTAGAGGATGCTGGATCAACTGGTTGAATGACTTCACTACCACCAATACCTGCATGATTAGCCCATGTTGATGGTGGGCCATGCAAATCTTAGTAGAAGTTAACTGTCATTCTCTTCCACAATGTGTGCATTTTTTAATAGTGCTCTCCCTTCCTCTGCCACGGCCTCCCCCTGAATCATGACCTCCTCCACTACCACGACCTCCCTTAACTATACGGCCACCTCCTCTGTGCCCATAAGGACCACCTTGAGTGCCAACAAGTGCTGATCTGCCAGAAGGTATGTTACATTCTGTGGGGGTGAGAGACATTTTACGGAGACGGGCAAACACTTCTTCTAGAGTAGGGAGAACAGACTCTCCCAATATTTGTGCTCTGACAGGTTCATATTCTGCTTTCAGTCCCACCAAGAACCGAGTAACATCTAGTTGTTCCCTTTGTTGCTGCTGAACTTTGATGTCCGGAGTCAAGGGATGATAGACATTAAGTTCATTCCAAAGAGGTTGCCACAGGAATCTGGGTTGTGCCGCAGTCTTCTACCCCAGATTTCTCACACCAGAAAAAAAATAACGAAAAAAAAAGGAAGAAGAACTGAGAAATGTTAGTTGAGGAAGCTGTAATCGACTGCTGTCAATAGCGCTCTGATACCATGTTTGTGCTGTTCAGCCGAACTGAGAAAAGAGAAAGAAAAAAAAAGAAGAGAACAGGGAGAAGAGGAAGAATAGTGTCGAATTGAGAAGACTATTCGTCTAACCCAGTCGACCATATGCTTAAACATAACAAAAATAAAGTTACAAAGACTGAAATGCCCCTGCATATGAGGAGACATACAGCTAACACCTTACACAGGGGAAAAGACCAAAATGCCCCTCTTTAGTCAACTCTAACAAGGTTTAATACCCAAACCTAGCACTTGATTCCTCTCAGTCTTCCTGGTTACTGGGCAATCACTAAGGTCACACAATACCCTGAGCAACAGCAAAAAACTCTCCAATAACCTCCAAGAGTCGGGCGATATATATTTAGCTTCCATTTCTACTCTCTAGGAAGTTCTCATGCAGTTAGATGGACCAAGACAACTTGGGAAACTTAAACTATCCTAGTCCTGCTCTGATACCAACTTGGATGAAGTTGTTGACAGTCCGTTTGTGTTCTTATTAGAAATCAGAGAAGAGGGCAGAGGAGAAGAGGAAGGAGAGAAGAGAATGAAGAAGAGGGGCTTTGTATTTTGTTGTCTTGCCACCTCATCATTAGCATTTATGTCTTTCTCATAAAGAGTTACAAAGACAAATATTCCCTTGCCTCCTAACAAGAGATAATAATAGTAAATAAAAAAGTAAACAACATGAACAATAACATGAATATAAGATTGGACCACATAGAAACAACTACTGTACTGTGTTCCTACAAGTAGAAATCAGATCATGTCCATATTTATGTATCCAATGTAACCTTTTCTTGGACAATAAACCAACTGATTTCCATTGTCAATGCCTAAAATAGGTCTATAATGTCACTTGGCACCACCCATTCCAAACTTATTAGGTTTCGGTAAAAATGCTATAATCTCCTTTCAGAAATGCTTGGGATGCACTGATGTAAATATTTTCTCCTAAAGCTAATAGGATATTATCATTTTTGCAGCTGAACATAACTGTTTCTTATTTCCATTAGTTAAACTTTAAGTTTTGAAAAATGGATCGGGATATGTTGATTATAAGTAAAGTTAGATTGTTCTTGAGCCTTTGCAGGGTTGTATACATGAAACTTGGATTGCTACTGCAAAATATTTATTAGATAATATTCCCTTTCTATTGAAATTGGAGGATTTCAAAGATGTTCAGGAAATTCTCTCGGTCACGTTTGTGTCACTTCCAATCAACTTTTGGGAGTTTATCAAGTGGGTTGAGGAATTTAGAAGACGAGAAGAGAGGACTTCAGTTTTGAGCAGAGAGAAGAGAAGACTTGCTATCAAGGTCTCCATGCATTCTTCTTATCATGCTTTGTATCACATATAGACGTGTTTCTTGGTTCTGGGTCCACAAAAGCAGTTTAGTGTGTAAACCACTTAAGCTGTAAATGTTGCATCTCTTCGCCACTATAAACTTAGGCTGTAAAATTGCTTACATGGGTGCAATATTTGTAATAATATTTAATAATATTATTACATACATATTATTAAATGTGCAGTTTAGTGCTTTAATAATATTTCTATTGAAAAACATGTTTCTGTAGCATATAATTTGCATACATACATATTTTAGAATTCTTGCTTAAGTTTTAATACTCCAAGATTTTGGATTTCAGGACCAGGTATTGGGTCAAGTTCATGAGACTGAGCTATATAAACATGTTACTAAATGGTTGTCTTCTAAACACTCACACCAGATAAAAACCACATCTTCTAATGATGCTACTAGTTGCGATGGATATTATTTGGCTAGCAGTGATATTCTAACTGTTCTATTATTGGCTTTGCCTCCATGTACATGGTCCAATCTTAAAGATGCAGAGTTGTTGAAGGAAATTAATAGTCTTGTATCAATTGGCAGTCTTCCCTGTACACTTCAAAAGGAGGTTAGATTGATACTTCTATCCTTGATGCATTTACTTTTCCTTTATTTCTCAATTATCTAAATCGTTTAAATATTATCAATCAGAGATTCTACTTGTGCAAAATGAAATTTTGTTGTTGTTGTGGATAGGGTTATTGGAATAGCTCATGTAATTAGATGTCAAAGAATTTCTTGAGCATGTATAATCTAGGTCAAATCTGGACATATGGCTCATATCAATATAATTGTTCATAAAATGTAAATTTTGTAGAAAGCTAAATGAAAGTGATAAATGTTGGTAACAGTTTTCGTAGATACAGTGATTCTAATCCACTCTTGGCTGGTGAAAGGGTTCTTTCTTAGTAGTAGGATTTCTTGGAATCCATCCTCCTTTGTTATTTCCTAGTGCATCTGGAAAGACCAGAGTTTAAGGAAATTTTAAGCGTAAGCAGTCCAACGGAAAGGTTTATAGGGAAGAAGTAAATGCTAACTTTTTCATGGCTTCAAAAACATGGCTGTCCCCTTCTTTCCACACTCCACCAAAGTTCTAGAAAATTGAGAGTTGACCTACTTCCCATATGGTGTTCTTATCTGGGAATAATACCATGTCACCCCTGGTCTCGTGTTTGGATTTGTACCATTAGGAATAAAATACTTATAAGAAAAAGATCCTAATCTTACTCTAAGTAGAAGTAATAGAAGCTAATCTTATCATTTGCTTTAATGTGTCCAAGCATGGGCACCAACGATCAGTAAAACACCTCTATGAATTCCATGTAAAAAGACAAATATACCTTAATATGGGGTTGTGTAAAGCAAAGAGTGACATCAGATTCAGATCTCCAAGAACATTCTTCTATCAGCTACATAGGTTTGTCCCACTACCATTAGTTGGCTTGTGGATCATATCTGCAACATATATCGGTAGATGGTAGCTAACCTTGCTAGTTTTCAATTTTCAATTAACCATTGTTTTTTTCCCATTTTTTGTGTTCCCTGATTCTTTCTATTGGGTTCTATTTGTTGAATACGGTGGCATAGTGTTTTAACTATTTCTTTGGTCAACCATGAAGAGAGCATACTACAAAGAAAAGGTGCTACAATTATAAGAGGGTTCCTGCCCTATAGAAAAAATAGAGGAAGAAAACTGAAAAAGAAGAATACAAGAGAACTAGTCAGAAATAGAACCCAAAAAGCTTTGCTCTCTTGTGACACCCACAACCAAGATATCAACCAATCAGTTGACTGACCTTAGAATTCATTTGAACAAGCTATTCAAATGAATGTGGTCTTAGGTTATAGAGGAGGATTGTGATCTTTGTAAAAGCAGAATTTCCATGTGAAATCACATTAAAATGTAGTTTGGTTAAACGAAGATGCAAAAATTTTTCTGTTATTATAAAAAGAAAAGAACAGAAATGGTGTCCTTCTTTATTGAATAAACAATTTGGGCATTTGGATATCACAGTCAAGGGTTAAAATATCAATATACCCAATACCCAAAGTTGGGTATTGGTGCATATCGATATGACCAATTCTCATCTATTTCTTTTTTATCTTTTTTACTTTTTTTTCATTTTAAAGGCATTAGAGGGATGAATTTACCATCCCAAAGGTTTAAACATTTTAATGCATTTATGCGTCGGTGTATCCATGCATTTTTGGGTGCATCAATATAGATACGATATGCCCAATACAGGGTGTATTGTATCGATATTTTATTCCTTGAGCATTGTTGGGTTTTTGCCCAATATAGGAGCTTTTTTCGAGGGAAGCTCATGTTGGACAGTGTATGTCCTTAGCTCCAATCAGATTGATGTACTTTTGACATTTATTGTAAATGAATAATAGTACATAATTTATTCATGTTATATTTGGTGTGTTTCTGTGTAATACCCTTAAACTGGACACTTATGAAACTCGTGTTAGTTTAGAATCTTCATAGTTGTTGGATAAACCTGGGGAAGTTTATTCTACCAAGTCGGTTGGGGTGGCTTGTCTCAGCTGCTAGGGTGAGACCCAAAGCACATGTAGTGTGAGTTTGCTTGAAACTCTGAACTGAACCATTTTCTAGTTATGCCCTGGACCTTGGAGATAGATGGGCAAAATTAGAAAGTTACACCTAACCCCTAGACTCGATTATGGTATTGCACTAGGTGTTGGATTGGGCTGTCTTTGATATGCCAATTAGTGAGATCCTTAGCGGGGGTCAAAACCTGGGTATGTTGGGGGCAGTCTAAGAATTCACTTGAGAAGGTGATCATAGTGGCAGAATCATCCCCTTTGTCGGACAAAGTGAATGATCGGGGACAACACTCTCTAATGGAAACCTAAACTGCTGGTAGTGGATTTCAAGCATGTTTGAGATTTGATTTGCAAATATATATATATATATATATATATAATGTTTTATGAAAATGTTTGCAAAATGTTTTAATTCTCGAGATCCATCCTGAGTAAAGAGTGCGACACTATACCTTGCAACTAAGGGAGAGGTCCTCTCTTGTTGCGTAGTATTTAATCATTATGGGTTGAGAGGTTAAGTGTAAGACTATTTAGGGCTTATAGACCTGATGGGCTAATCTCACTTAAGTCCATAGTCCTTGGGCTGTCATAAGGTGGCTAAACCCAAGGACCATTTAGTATAAATGTTAGGCTTGCTAAGAGCCCATACTGATGGGCTCAGGGGTTCATTGTGTTAAGCAGTGAATTCGACCAAGCCTTGTAACAGAGGCTAGGTTGAACCCATATGGCTTTTGTGGAGATTAACGTTAGGGTCCCACGCCATACAAAGAGAGCAAAGTCAGACAACAAATTAAAAGGGAAGTGAGCCTAATAACTTAATGGGCCTAAAGCCCATTTCAAACTGGGTTAATTTGATTAATTAAATATGGGCGAATTTGGGTTTAGATCTGGATCTAGATCAGCAAGAGGATAAGATAAGTCTTAACCACTTAAGAGTTTAGATCCAAATAAAGATTTGGATCGAAGAAACCTTTCCTAATAGTATTAGGAAGCTAATCTGGAAAAATTATAAATAGAGGGTGAATTCCTTCTGTTAAACACTTTTGTTGAATCCAGTTCTTTCCTCTGTTCTTGCTGCCCTACCCTGTTCGATCTCTAGAGTCTTGGACTGATCAAGATTTGATCTTGATTCTGAATTTTGCTAGAAAAATCAAATCTGAAGTTGTGCTCACATCTCCTGCATGATCCTTGCTGAAGGACTACTTTGTTGATCCTACTTCACCTTAAGCTGCGCCATCTTCAGTGGAGGCAGGATTTGGTGACCTCTTTGGGCGTGAACACCTACGTTGGGAGTTATGTTTGTGGATTCCATATCAGGTATACCTCTCCCTTACTTTTGGTTACAGATCTGGTCCGGTTTGTTTCAAGAACAAACATTGAAAAATGCAATTTTTCTAAAATCGGGAATAGGATTCCCGAAAGGGAGAAAGAAAATTTTCAAAATTTCGCCTAGCCACCCTGCATGGTTCGGCCATCCATATGATGGATTTCCCTTCCCTTCAACTCAATTGTCCTGAGAAAGAAGGGGGAGAGGGAATAATTTCAGGGAAAATGGTTCTATCCTTCAAAGTTGCAGCGACCTTTATTCTCATAACTAATTTGGAGAACCGTTAGGCTGATGTAGCTGATGTGGCTTGTGGATGTAGACCTTCTTGATGAGGAGTTTCATTCTGGGTTCAGCATGGAGTCTAGCCTTTACTGGTCCACTGGTTGGTTAAACCGAGCTAGGAGGACAAGTTTGGTTGGTTCTAACTAGACCTGTTCATGGGCTGGGTAGCCCAACGGACAGTCCAATATATCTAGACAATATCAAATAGAATCAGAGATATTTGCCTACAGTCAAGGAGATAGAAGGATACAAGAATACTATTCAGGTTTTCTTGATTTGTGGGTTGAATACAAACTCGTCCATATTGATCCCTCGGACTCAGTAGAATGTATGAAATATCAACAGAAACATTTTGAGAAGAGGAAGGTAACTCGGTTTTTGATGAGGCTTAGACCTGAATATGAGATAATCAGGTCCAATATTTTGAGTAGGGGAACACTTTCAAATCTGGATTCTGTTTTAGGGGAGTTACTAAGGGAAGTGACTAGGCTTCTCACTACAGCTGGATTTGATGGAAAGATGACTGAAATTGGGGCTGAAACAGCTTTTGTTGCCCATGGAGGTAAGAAGTCAACTTCCAAGGACTTCTCCAAAACTTAGTGTTATGAGTGTAAGGGCTTTGGACATATTGCCTCTCATTGTAAGAAGAAGAATGTGTGCACCTATTGCAAGCAATATGGTCACATCATTCTAGATTGTCCAATCTGGAAAGTGGTATCCTCTGCTATTTCCTTTGCTTTTTCAGCTATTGGTATCCAATCCGAAAAGTTCCTTGAATATTATTCTTCTCCTTCACATGCTTGGATTATAGATTCAGGTGCCACCAATCATATGACAGGAGCCTATCTCAATCAACCAAATCCATCTACTGAGACTCACCATAAAGACATTGTTACTACCAATGGTGAAAAGTTAGACATTGTTGAGTTTGGGTCGATTTTAAGTTATTGGGCCCAGCTTTGTTTTATTTTATCTAAGTTATTAAGTTAAGAAGTTATTGGGCCTTAAGCCCATTAGTTTATATTATTTTAAGTTGTGATTGTTCAGCTACTTAAAGTAGCTGCCCTACTAAGGGTATTTTTGTAATATTTCATTCTTTTATTTTAAGTATATAAATCAAGAGGAGTTGGGTGCCAAACTATTTAAATTTTGGTGACATCCCACTCTCTTTTCTTCTTCGCTCTCTTTCTCTCTTGCTGAAACCTTTCAGTTTCTTCACAAAGCATACATCTGAATTAGTTATCAGCAGTTTCTACTTGGTATTAGAGCAGGCTGAAGGTTTCTCGTGTTGCTCTATCATGCAGCCATAGATCGGCTGACTGCATGGTGATATGAGAGGTTGATTGAAGACCTCAGGTAAGCCCAATTTTTGGATTTTTGGTGGATTT